ACCGTGTAGTGCCCCTGGGGCCTTGGAACTTTCCTGCAGGCCCATGTCAGTGAGGGGTGCAACTTTCCAGCATGCCCCTGTGGCCATTAGTGGCACTCGCGGCCATTCCCCTGGCCCTCGGAGGGGAGCTACCGGGGCAAACTGGAAATTTGGAACCGGTACTGGAAAGGGCATAGTGAACATCTTTCAGACCCAAATGGCGCCAGTTTTTTTTCGGAAACTCAATCGTTGTCAGAGGGGTGCGACAGGGTAAGTCGGCCATCAGAGGGGCACGCTGCAAATAAATTGAACTTTCAGGGGCATATCAAAGATTTTCCCTTGTTTTTAACATCACATTGAACATGCTTCCAATTCTCCAAGCACCAGCCGTGGGACATGCGTACACAGCTCCTTACGTTGTACCGGCATGTAGGCATTCTGCATAGACTGCAGAGTAGGTCTACCTGCCAGATCTCCTTGATTGGTAGGAGGGCCCTTCAGCTTGCTGGTACTGTCAATCTCATGTCTGTTCAAACAAGCAATTGTAATGTTCTGGGATGCCGGACCCATTTTTCAGCAGGTACTGCTCCCCACCAATACATGGAGCCTCCCCGGGACTGCTAGTGGCGCCTGCTCCTATCAGCGCTCCTAGCATCCACACCTGCTACTTCTTGTGAACAAAACAAAACAAAACAAACATAACATTGCAAGTCCTCAATCCCGGTGTTGGTGAGTGTCCCACATGTACCTTCCTGGGCAAGCTTGGCGCCCGCCACCTAGAGATATGCCGTTGGTCCCCCCGAGTGGCATTGAGCAGAGACTGCTGATGTTCATAGGGGGAGGGGACCGGAGGGGAGGCACAGTGACTGGCCCATCGAAGAAGCTCCGTCCTGATGCTACCGGCTGACCCCTGGCCGGTATCGCCCACCTGCTGTAGCAGGTATCGCACCTGCTGGTGGGTGCAGCTCCCCCATGTTCCCCCGTTGGAGGCTTGAGCACGGATGTGGCTGCTACGGGGTTCCCCATAATACTATAATGACAATAAAAAAACGGCCTGAAAGGCTGTCCTGTCCAGATTTGACAGGTAATTGAATTGGTTGGGCTTAAAGAATTAGCCTTTAAAAAAAACAAAAAAGTGTCCCACAAGGATTGGGGTCTTGCCAGGTGGCTCCGATCTATTGGTGGGGAGCATCACCTTCTGGAAACTATGTACAGCATCCCTTTCGCCTCTGCTGGGATCCAAGCCCAGTGTCACTCACTGGGAAGCGTTATAGTGTGCACTGTAACCTAGACGAGCCGCCCCTTTTGAGCTCTGTTTATCTTAAACCACCAGTACTTGGCCCAGATATTGGCCGCGGCGCTTTCCCGTTAACGCGCCGCGCCTTTAGGGCTTCGGGGTACCGGACCAAAATGGCTGGAAGCGCCAGCCGAAAGATTTCGAAACAGTACCCCGGCGCTTCGGGGAAAATTGACGAGCAGGGCCATTCCAGGCTCGCCATCGATAGCTGGGCCTAGTACTGGTGGTTTAAACCACCAGTACTTGGCCCAGCTATCGAGTCCGAGCCTTGGCCGACCGGTATGCCAAGCCGTGCCGAGGCTCGGACTACTGGGCGCTGCCTTCCCAGATCTCTGCGCAAAGAGGGGGGACAAAAAGGACAAGAAAATGAACTAAAAGCCTTTCTTTTTTTTTAAGTTCTTTTTTTTTTTCAAAGTTCTTTTCATCATTCCCTCGCGGTACTTCTTCGCTATGGAGGAAAGCAAAGAACTGCAATCGCACGCAACGTAGTCAATACCACGAACGACCAGCAGTCGACAGCACACAGGACAAGCCCAAAGCTGCAAGTTCGTTCAGCACTGATTCGAAAAGAGACACGTTAACATCGTGGTTATGCGTGCTGCCCAAATATGCTAATGAGTGTTGAAACACAACCCGTCATCTCCTACCCTCGCCACTCTCCTTCACTACCTCACCCGCACCCAGGTTGTGCCACCGCCTCGAAGGCAAAAGAGGATTCGTCCTACCGATATCACACTACTTATGTTGTTTGTCAACCGGAATTCCCTCCGTTGGTTCTCCCGCCAACCGCTGCCCACAATATCGAAGTCAAACAGGACCAAAATTAGAAAACTGCGTACGCTACACTACCCACGGTGTTTCCATATAGTACCCGTGCAAATCCTGGTACTTTCCAGAAGGCACCGGTACCCGCCCAAAGGGCAAAACCCTGGTTCGAGTAAACCGAAAAATTACGACAGGCTATCCATAGATGCTGAATCAAACAAGACCAAAGTACACTAGGTGCCAAAAACAAACAAAAAAATATTATACTCCTCTGTTGAGCCTACCTATCCCCGATTAGAACTGAAATCATCCGCCAGGCCACACTCTTGCTCTTGCTGAAATTCCGCCTTCCCGGACAATGGACCAGGATAGTTACACCTTCTCAGTTCAAATCTGAACAAAATCACAGTCTCAAGCAACTCTGCCCCCATGCCCGAGTTCTGGTCAATACGATGCAGGGCACTAATGATAACCGCCAACTTGACCAAGAACAAAAATCATGAAAGCTGCGGAACGGTAAGTTACCTCCTTCCCTCAATTCCATCTCGTTCTTTAGGACTTGCACTGTACTCAGAAAGGTCACCAATGGTCAATCTACAACCCAGAAAATTCCAACTCTCCTTCCCCTCGTCTGTTCGCTTGAGGGTAAGTGCCTGATCATAACAGTCCTCAAAAAGAGCCAAAGCCTTTATAGCCTTAGCCTTACCTTCAGCTTTCTCTGGATTATACGCCGCGAACACTGAAACATCATCTACGAATCTCATTCCACAAAAGGCGCGCCTCTGACTGCCCAACGAAATCAAGAAATCCCATTCACTCTTTGCACACATAAGACAAGCAAGGGAGGACTCGAACTCTTTCCCATAGGAATGCCAATGGTCTGTTGCAGAAGGATACCACAGGCCCTGGTGAAACAAAATTCAACTCAAATTTCACGAACTTGACAATGTAATTGAATGACACGAACACAAACCCATCCAATTGTTGACCTTTACTCAGACGAGCCCCTTTTCCTCTTCTATGCACGAAAATCCCACTATATCCCTTCGCAGAGAACCACCAAACAACCCATTCGATCGCTGAAACTATCGCCGTGTGTGAGAGGCGACTAAACATATCCTTAATATCAAACGATGCTCCGACAATCCTCACCACCTTCCTACTCTTCGCAATTTTTTTGTCAATGCGTTCCAGTCTGTCCTTCATATGAGAAACCGATTTAAGGTTGAAGTGTCCTGATTCTGGTAACGCAAATAACAAACCATTGATCCCTTTTGCAACGACCTTGCACGCCTTCAACAATGGTTCTTCAAAGGTAGGACATATGGGGCGGAATTTCTCGGTATCCTTGTGTTTGGGTAAAGCACAAAACCTCCCAATTTTTCCATTTGAATTTCATTTCCCATGATCGTGCAACTCCCTCTTTTCGTACTCACCTTTTGCCAACTCGAGCACACGTTCTTCGTCATTAATACAGACTCGATATCCGTCACTCAAAAGAAAGGTTTCCTCCATTGCCTTGTCATACAACAATGGACATAGCACAAGCGTTTCACCAGGATTTCGGTCCAGGGGGGCCAGGACAAGCCCCTTCAATCGCTCTTTCAATTCCAAAACTTCCTTCATTGCGTCAATGCAGTAATCATCCCTACACGGAGCCAAACATCCACGCATGTCCTCATGAGTACAAATGAGCGCTACTTCTGACAATTTCAAGTTACTGCCCCAAATACGAAAAACCTCATTCAATTCCTTACCCAGCAGAACCTCCCTATGCTCGATATTATGCCTAGGTACATTCTTTGTGTTCTTAACAATCATCGGGACTCCCTCAAGCTCTCCTATCCGGAAATGCACATGCCCATCCTTCTTAGGGTAGGGCAAACCAGCACAAGAACAGTTGGGCGCACAATTCGATGCAAATTGTCGATGGTTATGTAAAATTTCACCCACATTAGGGCCTTTCTTCCAAACAACCTGTGCATGACGCTTTACCATTTCCGTCAGCAGAGTCACCAAATCCAGGCTACCTACCTTATTTATCACCACCCTCATCACCTCGCCCTTTTTAATCCTCCCATCATACTGAGTTTGGACAATAATCCTAGTCCGTACGTTGAACTTGAAACCAAACTTCTCCCGTATCACCCTCGAGATCATACATCGAGTTTTTGACCGACTCCGCTTTGCCGTAATGTAGTACGTGACTAATTCCGCCATAGTTTTTGCGTAGAGCTCCTTCTTTTTACGCTGGTCCTTCGACATTTTAGCCATCTCATCCTTCAAAGCGAGCAAAGCAGGGGAAACTTCGAAAACTCTACGGAGTATGACGAAGCCCTCCTGCTCGAAGAACCTCTTGCATTTCCTAAGCGGTTTCGTACCACGTCCTACTTTCACACGTGTCTCCCCGAACAAATGCCTCACCAGCTTCCACCCATCTGCCGAAGTTCCACCCCCATTACACCATACTTTCAAATCACCCTTCCTTCGCCTAAGACTACTTAAAAATTCCACAATCTTGACGGTACCATTCCCATGTCCATCGATTTTAACTGTCAGCAGTCTACCAGTGTCAATCTTAAAATCCCGAGTCCTTTTCACATCTCCATTCGACCACTTTCTCCGTTCTTTTTTACCCGGCCGATGCTTAGACTTTTTTGTACCTTTCCTTGTTCTGACTAATCGAACATTCAGAGATGGCGACGAATGCTTAATTAAAGCCACTTCGACTGCCTCCAATTCCGCTCTATCAGAACTAGTGAAAACCGGAAGAGCTACATACTTATGCGCGCCCACTTTCCCAAACCAGTTATATAACGTCCTACCCCTTCTCCCCGATCTATGTCCTCGACAATAGTGCTCGCGCCATCTCGCCCAAAAGCCACGCTCAGTCATACCTATATACACCTGCTTATACCATGGCGAAATCATAACATACACACAACTACTAGGGGTCGAAATGTCAAAGGTTCCTTTATCCACTTCATCTCTCCAATAATGGACAAACTTCTCGCCCCACTTAACCTCACCAAGCAGTATAAGTCCTATCGTAGCAGCCCGAAACTTCCTCTCGTCATCCTTACACTTACCTAGCTTCAACAGTCCCCGTTCGCTCAGTAGTTCAGCCCAAGTTTGGAATTCGTCGCGACGACAAACACCTCACTCAGAATCGTCTTCAGAAACTGATTCCTCCGATTCCGAAACTGCAGGATTCGTCTCTTCCTTGATAACCACTCCTTTACTCTCCCTGGTAGCGACGCGCGGTGTAGATGGTAGTGGGAAGAGGGATCATATGCCACCACAAACCTTCTTGTGATCAATCGTTTAATCGCCTTATCACCGTTGCCATATGCTACCTTCTCCCTCCGGCAAGCTTCTTTCAACTCGTCAATAGTTAACGCGTCGTAAAAATCATGGCAGTCTTGCTCGAATCTCTCCTTGCTGCCCAGTTCCCATGACGCCATGATGTGTTTTAAGGACAAGTCGATTTTCGTTGGCGTACTCGACATCCCGCCCTCCTTCAACGGATCACTGTTCAACGCATCAATTCTAGCTTTCGCCTCTTTCGAAAGTCGGGTATTAAACTTCTTCTCGGGAGTGACGATAGGTGGACTGTTCCCGACCGGTAAGTCAGGGCCACGTTTCCTCTTCTCCAGCAAATCCAACTTCGCCGCATGCTTACGAAAAGCAAGCAACTCCTCGTCCTCTGCTTCTTTCATCCCAAACGTTCGATGCGCGATGCTTATCCGCAAACACTCTTTCTCTTCAATAAGCGCATCAGTTCGCCCGAACGTTCGTGCCAGTTTCTTTGCTTTGTAAATTTCTCTGTCAGTGCTCCCCGCGCCATCCTTCTTGAATTCGCTGCGTAAGATCCTCATGAATCTAATGTCCCGTTCTTCTTCATATCTTAACATCTGTTCCTCCCTTAATGCCCTCCGAGTTTCCTTCGCTCGTCTTGCTTCGTCCTCCACTCTTCTCCTTTCCTCCTCCCGTTCACGTTTAACCCGCTCACGACGTTCCTCCGCCATCTGCACGAAGTACTCCCGCATAAGTGCATTCGTCTCCTCGGTACTATCACCACGGTCACCACCACTGTCAGTCGGACAGCTCCTTCGGGCCAAGAAAATGTCACCTCCCGACGTTGACCGTCCGGTCCGTGTTTGTCCGGTCGGCATAGTCGTTGGAACGAAAGATCTTCCTTGTGCTTTCTCCCTCCATTATTTTGCGCACGGATGAAATGACTAACTTCGCCACACTTATAACACTTCCTGCTATCCAGTGGTATACCACCACCTCCATCGGTCCCCCTTCGAGAGTCTCCTTCCTCACTCGTTGCAGGTGGAGGTAATATCCCCACGTGCCAATGCAACCAGCGAAACAAATCTCGCACAACTCCTTAACGGAGCCCACTCTTGCCACAAGGTCACAGCCGCCGCCTCTGCTAGGTACAATTGCCTAGATGGTTACGACCATAGATAGTAGGAAAGCAAAGAACTTCAATCGCACGCAACGTAGTCAACACCACGAACGGCCAGCAATCGACAGCACATTGGACAAGCCCAAAGCTGCAAGTTCGTTCAACATTCAACATCTGATTCGAAAAGAGACACGTTAACATCGTGGTATGCGTGCTGCCCAAAGATGCTAATGAGTGTTGAAACACAACCCGTCATCTCTCCTACCCTCGCCACTCTCCTTCACTACCTCACCCGCACCCAGGTTGTGCCACCGCCTCGAAGGCAAAAGAGGATTCGTCCTACCAATATCACACTACTTACGTCGTTTGTCAACCGGAATTCCCCCCCGTTGGTTCTCCCGCCAACCGCTGTCGACAATATCGAAGTCAAACAGGACCAAAATTAGAAAACCGCGTACGCTACACTACCAGCGGTGTTTCCATATAATACTCGTGCAAATCTTGGTACTTTTTAGAAGGCACCGGTACCTGCCCAAAGGCCAAAACCCTGGTTCGCTATGGGTCCCTCGCACGTACTTTTTGACAAAGCTAAAAGCTAACCCAAAAAGGAAAACGAAAGAAACAAAAGGAAAATAAAAAATAAAAAAAATCACGACAAAACAAACCGTTCAACTTTTGTTGCGCCCCGTACGAACAAAAGTGTGTGTGTGTGTGTGTGTGTGTGTGAGAGAGAGAGAGAGAGAGAGAGAGAGAGAGAGAGAGAGAGAGAGAGAGAGAGAGAGAGAGAGAGA